ATGAAATTATTTGTATTGTAACCAATATGTAAAGCACTTTATTAGTGCCATGTTATCAGTAATAAAAATGAAAACAATAAAAATCAGCTAAAAGTGTCGACCACAGTGGGAGTCGAACCCACGACCTTTTGATCCGAAGTCAAACGCGCTAATCCACTGCGCTATGCGGTCTCCATGTTGGTATGATACAATTTTTTATTTATACTGCAGTAGCAATACAAAATTCTGGAGAAAAGTTCCCACAAAATAAATTTATTTGGATTAGATGTCTTTAATTACAATTACCAACCTTTTTACTTTGCACACCTAACAATCAAATACTTTGCTAGTGAAGCTTATAAGTTTGTGTTATTTTCGGTTTTTGAGTTTCAAAATTATTTGAATTTTGATTAACGAAAATAGCATATATTTTACGTTTTTTAAATTTTTTTAATATGTTATTATATTATTATGAGAAAAATTATGTTTATGGTATTTTTTTGTTTTTAAATATTAAATATTAAAATTTATTTAATCTATTTTAACCTTAAAATGTAAAAATAAAACAAAACAAAATGTTATGTAGGCTGTGATGAAGCTTTTACAAAGAAAAAGAGTTTAGGTGGAGACCGGAGACGATTGCCACCGAACTCATCCTTGTTATGCTCTTTTTTTCAGATTCAGAATTTTGGTTGTACTTTCAATCAGCTCAATTTCTCAGATTTACGCCGAAATTAGGGTTTCTGATTATAGCGCTATTAAATTATTCTTTGCTTTGAATTTACTCAATCAATTGATTGTTTGTTCGGTGCAGTTTTTAGAGGAATTGGGATTATTGGTGAAAGAGGATCGAAAAAGTCATGTTCTATGGAACGGCAGTGTGGGATCCATGGCTTATTGTTGCGCAGATCGTGTGTTTTCAATGTCTATATTATTTGACGCTGGGGATATTCATGACAATTCTTGTTGGAACTCGTGTTTCACGAATTAGTCTGGTATATTTTTTTGATTATGCTACTGTTACTGCTTCCACCGTCACTGGATGGTGCGTCATTGCCTCATTTATTCTCAGTTCACTAGCAGGGTGAGATTTCTGCTTTTTTGCCCCTTCATTTGGGTCTTCTCCATAAACTTGAAGCTTTTGTTTTTGTGCTCTCTTCATGTTCTTTGTTTTTTCTTTTGGATCTAAATTAATGTTGGGACAATGTTCTTAATTCTGTTTCTTTGGGCATAGATGCATAGTGAAGAAAACAAGTAAGTAGAAATGATTGTTTAGCTCCATAAATCCACCTTCCTTGCTGAATTGTCATGAAAATCCCCTTTGAATCTGAATTCGGAAGACTTCCTTGCTGGAAAATCATGAATTATCATCTTTGACTTTGTTTCGTTTACTGATTGAAAGCAAGTCTAATTTTTTTTGGGCATTGATATGTTTGGTGAGCTTGTCCATACTAAAGAATCTGAATTGGGAAGACTTCCTTGCTGAAAAATCATATATTTATCATCTTTGGCTGTGTCTTCCATTACTGACTGAAAGCAATCTATCTTTTGGGGGGATTGATATGCTTGGTGAGCTTGTCCATACATAGTAAGTGTAGCAAAAAAAAAATGGCTTCAGTATTTCAGCTGTGGGAGTTTAAAGAGATTGGATCAGTGTTTTACACCATATTAGTTTGATCTTCAATGTTGAATCATTTCTACTGTATCTTGCTATTCTTATGTTTGTTCAACTTAGAGTTGGAAAAAAGGTAGTAAAAGAAATGCTGAAGAACACACACTTGGGAAGTAAAGAAATTGGAGATGCAACCATAAATAAGCCAAAAAGGAGTGGACAATGATATAGCATGATGCTTTTTATATCTCTAATATGTACTTCTGATTTGACTTTTTATGTGCATGCTAGTCTCGGATGAGAAAATCTATATTTCTGTGAACGAACTTCCTAAATTTTCAATAAATCTGGTTCAACATGCATAATTGAATATTTTTCTTGTTGCAATATGCAGAGCTGGCTTTTTGCTTTATTTGATTGAGAGGGCAAAGAAGTGCTTAGATTTTTCAGCAACACTTTACATCGTACATCTTTTAATATGTATTATCTATGGAGGCTGGCCTTCTTCAATTACATGGTGGGTTGTGAATGTTACTGGGCTTGCGGTGATGGCATTGTTAGGTGAATACTTGTGCATAAGACGTGAATTACGCGAAATTCCAATTTCGAAATTCCGATCAAGTAAGCTCCTTTTCCTTCATTTTGAATAATTTCTCTCTGAGAAATCTTTCTCCCATTATACCATCTCTCCATATCATTGGCCTGAACACTATCACTTTGTTCTGACATCCTTCAACTCTACACACTATTTTGTCTTTTCGTTAGGATCCTGATTATTGCTGCTTCTCTGATTATGATGCTAACTATTGTCATTTCTCTTTTACTTTTGGATCATTTATTTGTATTCTAAAGTTGAAGTGCTTGAGATATCTATGCTTTAACTGTTGGATCTCACTGGAGGTTATTAAAACTTCATTTTTCTTCTCCATTGCATAGAGTATGAATATCTTTGTCAATCTCTTCTACTATGTTAGTAAACTTGGTCAAACTTCCTCTTTCTGGGTGCTTAGGTTGCAGCTTGTCATTTTATAGGCTAAAAATGAGACAGCATGTATGATTTATGAATACATTGTGCGTCTCTCTAGTATTTGGGTACAAATTGGTTCTTGGTACTTGATGAAGTGATGCACTAGATTTGTCAATAAATTAGAGCAGTAGTTGCAGCAATAAATTTGTTAATTGATAGAAACGCAGAAAAGAAGAAGGGAGGGGAGGTGAAGTAGAAGAATGGGTGCTGTTGGTGGATACTGCTAGTTTGGCATAACTTACATAGAGTTATTAACATGTGCTTTCAACAGAAGGATAATCCTTGTTTCAGCTTAAATAGCGTTAGCTTTTACATTATCCCATTTCCCAAAAGCCGTGTATATATGGTTAGCATTTATCATAATCGTGCAACAGTGAGCTTCAGAAAACAGAAGAGGAATATTAGTCGCCATTTATTGTACTCCTGGTGATGTTATTGTAATTATCTTTTAGGCTTGTCAATAGAAATCTCAACTTGAACTGAGAGAATCTAAATTTTGATTGGCAGGGTCAGTCAGTGAGGAGAAGGCGAACGAAGACATGGATGAGCAAATCCCTTTGTATCGTGTGGATAATATGGCTTGAAAGAAATTGTAGGTGCTTTAAGGGTAGGAGGAAACATTACTTCTGTAAAAAAATAGATTTATTCAGCATCTTAAGATTTGGTGTAATGTCTTTTTTGATGCTATGCTGGAATTCTGCTCCAGATATAAGGAATCTAATTCCAGTAAG